GAGAGAGAGAGAGAGAGAGAGGAATAAATCAGAAAAGATAAACTTCGATCGTTAGGACGAAACTTAAGGAACGTAAGACGTCCATTTTCTGTGTAATCCGGTGTTGAATACATACGTTGGAAACGTTAATCTTCTCTTGATTCGTTCCTAGACTCTTTTGTTGAGAGCTACCGTTGGCCTTCTGAAGATACTTTTGCAATATGGCACTTATCGTTTGCATCACGTTTGATATCACGTTTTGTTATTTGTTTTTATTTATATCATATTTTGCGTTTAATTGGTAAGCTGAGGCGGGGGTGCAGGTGAAGGAGAAATCGTAGACGAATGAATGGAAAGAGGGTGATTGGGTTAATCAACCTCGAAAAGAAAAAAAAAAAAGAAAAAGAAAAAAGAAAAAGCATATAATGATTTTCAATAGAAAAAGTATCGTGAGATTTACAATCTCGTTCAGATGGATTTATATGGATACCGAAAATGTAGATCTACTTTGAAAGAAAGAAATTTTTTAATAACGATAGATCTTTATAAAACGAATACCTTTCATCGGGATGCAATTTGTTTGTTTGCTTGTTTGTTTGTTCGTTTGTTTTTTTTCAATTGGCATTACGCTCTTTAATATCGCAAAGTATCTCCATTTTTAATGAAATCATTAAATAAGATTTTTAATGAATATTTTTAATTGAAATAATTAAAATATTTCATTGGTAATTGCGATATTGACGTTAACAGACACATTGAATAGTATAACAATTTTTTTGAAATAAAAGTAGATATAAAAAAAAACGAATCTAAACAAGCGATCTAAATAGTTTTTTTTCTTTTCTTTTCTTTTTTTTTTCTCTTTTTTCCGTCCTTTCATTTTTTATGTTTACTTTCTCTTCTAATTTTCTTTTTCTTTTCTTCTTTTTTTTTTTCTTTTTTTTTTTCTTGTTAGAACAAACTCAGAGCATATCCCATTTAACGATATGTTATTTAATTGCCTATTAATAAATGTCAATTCCATCAATGGATTTTCAAAGAGCAATTTTTTTTTCTTCTTTCTTTTTTCAAAATTCCATTCTTCTCATTTCTTTTTCAATGTCCGTTTGTACGTTCGTTCGTTCGTTCGTTTTCTCCCATCGTGCTTGTCTTTACCAGACTCGTAGGACAAGTACGAAACACGTGACTTTAGTACTCAATAGGAAGACCGCTTGTATTACACGAATACTAAACACGTTCGCTTATTGTAACGCGAAACGTTCCATCGGCAGAGCGCGTTGTCCGCCACATTGCTCTCTCTCTCTCTCTCTCTCTCTCTTTCTCTCTCTTCCTTTTTCTCTCTTTTTCTTTCATTTTCTCTCTTTCTCTCTCTCTCTCTCTCTCTCTCTCTCTTTCTATCTCATTCTATCTTTCTGTTTCTCTCTCATGCAATTGCCTTTGTCGTTTATTCTTCCTTCCTCTGGCATACCAGCTGGCCGGATCTTCGAGTATCTAACTGTAATCCCATAGTTGGCGAAGCTGTAGCTTTGTCATCGATTAGTTGCTCCGAAACGAATCGTTGTTGCAGTTCGAGAGAGAGAGAGAGAGAGAGAGAGAGAGAGAGAGAGAGAAATATGTAAAGAAAAAAAAAAACAAACAAACAAAGGACAAAAAAATTGAAATCAAAAAAAAGAGGAAAATGTAAACGAGTCAATAATTTATTATCGCAATATTTTGAACAATTCAATTTTACTTGAGCTTACTCTGGAATATATCTTTTCTTTCTTCCTATTTTTCTTTCAATACCGATTAAATATTTTATTAGATATTATCATTTTATTCGATTAATTTATTTTGAAAAATATCATTGAGAATAATAAAGGAAAAAGAAAAGAAAAAAAGAAAAAAAAAAGGAAAGAAAAAATGGAAGAAGAAAAGCTTAACGAATGTTGTTCAATGATATTGAAAAATAATTTTTTATTATTAATCAGAATTTTATTATTAATAAAATTTTTGTAAGATCTTCATCATGTATCATAGTAATATTATGATATTTATTAAAAGAAAAAAAAAAGCAAAAACCTAGACAAAATTTCATTTCTATTAGACATATTAAATAATGAATCCTTAAATTTTTTATTTATATTTACATGATGATATTGATCAACATTAAGAAAATACTTGATAAATAGAATAATAATAAACAGGAAAATGTATATATAATCAATTATATATATATATATATATGTTCGATTACATTCGTTCGATTTCCTACTCGAAATCTATACGATTTCGTCTTATTATGGGATAGACAGCGTGGAAATTGTATCGACATAGGGTATTTTAACGAGTAGAAAATTAGTTTTATGCCGGCGGATAGGTATCGAGACGGTTGGATCAATTAGAGGTAGGTACGTAAATCATTGAACGTCGTTGCATCGAGAGAAATCTCGAGAGACTTCGAACGATTAGCTCGCTCGTCTCTTTTTCCCTCTCTTTATCTCTCTCTCTCTCTCTCTCTCTCTCTCTCTCTCTCTTTCTT